AATAGCAGGGTAAGTTTCTGTGCTGACATTGAGGTGTAACCTAAAACTCTCATGCAGAAATGAAGTGTGTGCGTGTTGCACACACTTCATTTCATACTTTCCATCCTTGCTGTCATTTGATTTAGTAACTAATTCCTCAAAGTACTTTAATTGTAACTTCACCCACATGCTTCTCAAGGGAAAATCTGAAACCATGAGTCTTTTTTTTCCAACAAAGAACATTCACTGAAGGCAGGGCAGAGTTTTTAAAGTACATGGATCGAGATAATTTTAATGAGAAGCTTTGATTGCGATACAGATGTTATGTAACAACATTTTTTTGTTGTTGCTCAGTACAGAGGTGAGGTCCATTCTTGAACTGCATGAAAGCACAGTTTCTGATTACCTTGCAGATCAAGTTAAGATACAACAAATGTAGGTAAAGAAGTAACGTTGACCTCAATATTCTACGGCAATTAAATGCTGCTTTCACAAAGAGGAACGTTATTAGGTACATTAATTTAGTTGAGCTCAGCAATTAAAACAAATTTACAAACAATTTCTATTTTTTTGGTTAAAAGAAAAAATACTTTTTACACTAAATTTATTCTACAGCTGTATTTTGTCTTGCAGTTTTAGGTTTTATATAATCACCATATAAATTATAACTGCAGTAAAACAGCATAAAGGCAAAAGGTTGCATAAAGAAGGCTGTTAAAAGTATTATAACCACAGCAGTACTGTGTCTGCAGTGTTAATCAATAATGAGCATCAGTGATAGTAAAACAATAACACCCTGCAGACAAAAGGTTATAGTGTGATTATTACTGTGAGCAATATGTGTGTTCATACTGTGAGGACATTCTGCTGAGGTTAGTCACTGAAAATAATATTTTGGATTCTTTTTATTTGTTAAAGTGTTTTATTCAAAGTAAAGTATACAAAAAAGTGAAAATAACAGAAAAATAGTCTTAAGAAATAAACCAAAACTCACTAAATGTGTTGTTTAAAAAAGCAACAGACATTAAAGAAAATAAAGGAAATGTTTTAAGTTTTGGTGTTTAGTCAAAGATGGAAACACAAAGAGGAGGCTGTGGTGAAAATGACTGTGAGTCAAATGTGTTGTACTGTACGGTTTTACTTATATTTGACCTATGCCACTAATACCACCCACATCATAAAAGCAAAAACACAGACAAAGAAACTAATAAAATGCAAAATTAACATTTAACAATTAAAAACCAAACTCAAATCAGAAGATCCACCCTGAAAACTAAAATAACATCAAAATCAAAGGTGGAAAATCCTAAATCAAAATAACAATGGCAGTATTAATAGCAGTCATCTCCGAATAGCCTAAATTGAAAACAATGTCAGTACCTCACTTACTTTTTTTATACACCACAACACCAACCCAGAGACAGACAGGACATGACACGCAGGACAAACCACTGCATCACGATTGTCATTGGTGGTGGTGTGCACAGCTCTAATGAAAACAAACCCAAATAAGGCAGCTGGCCCAAATAATATCCCCAGGCATGCACTCAGGGTCTGCTCATCAGAGCTGGATGGTGTATTCATAGACATATACAATCTGCCCATCCTTTAAGTCCATTACCAGTGTGCCCCTCTCCAAGAAACATCCTGGTAGTGGATTTAAACAACTATCATCCTTTTGGAGTCACATCAATTGTGATGAAGTGTTTAGAAAGGATCAAAAAGACTGTCCTGGCTACCCTGGACTCTTTACTTCATGCATATGCGTATAACACCACAGTGCATCAGTCTACTGGTGAGTCACCATTTGCTCTGATGTTTGGCTGAGATTCCCAGCTACCTGTTGAGTTTTTGTTGGGTAGGATTCAGGAGCCTGTGGCCCCTACCTCCTGCATACCAAGTGAGCCAAAAAGCTCAACATCCTCTGTGGTGTTGGTCTGCACTGATTAGCTGCCAGTTATGGCTGGTGTTCAAAATAATATTGCTTCTTTACATAGGACTACTTGTGCTAATGCTGGAATGCACTCGAATCGACATCATCTGCCCCAGGCAGTAGGAAGTAGAACAACAGGGGCTGTGAACTCCCAGGCTCCTGTGCCTAATACAATCTACCCTGTTTAGACCTCGGCAGTGAGTGTCAATCGTCGGGACGATGAGTCAAACCCCAGGGGTAGATTGTAGTGGGTTACATTTAGTTCATGTTGTTTCATATATGGTGTCTGTGAACGCAGCATGAACATTCACCCCTTCCTTTGCTGTTAATCAACAGTTGGTTATAAGGAACATCTGTGGTCTATTCTTGAGCTCATTACTGTTCAAGGTGGGAAAGCGCACAGGCTGTTAGGTATTACAGACTGGATTCATTTCCCGTGACAATTGATGAATTTGTGTAACTATTAAAGGGTGGTAAGTGGGATCCTCATGGGTTATCTACAATTTAGCGTATAGTAGGGTGGACCCCGGATGACTGTTTTCCCTCTTTTGTTACAGGCCTCACACTGCTGCTGTCTTGTTCTAGCCTTGTTGTAGTTTTACTATTGTTTATCAAAAATCAAATCGAATCAACATTTATTTATATAGCACATATTAAAAACAACAAAGTTGACCATAGTGCTTCACAGTCAGCAAAAGCATATAGACTGACATTGACTGGTTCCTTGTTTTATGGTATTTTACACATCAAGAAATGGGTAAATTGCACCATTCAGATTGCAGTGAGGTTTGCAGTGAGAGGGTGAGTAATTAATCTTGCCCTAAAAGTAGAGAAGGGCAAGAAGATCATTACTTATCTGAGGAAAAGACACTCCAATATACATCAGTCACACAGAGGTAGAGAGGCTGAAAGCCTTAAATTCATCAGGACACACAGCTAACAGTTTCTCAAAGGTGCTGACTCTCAGGTTACCAACAGAAACATCAAGGACTGACCTGGACGAGATGCCATTCACTTCCATTTTTTTTTTTTGTTCTTTTACTTTGTTGTGTTCTCGATGTCATTACACAAGTTCTGTTTTGGTCTGTCACAAGATGTGTCTACATCTGTTAAACTGGTAGCTGATAAGTAGAAGCATACTGATTGCAAAGAGGATTAAAATACATTTAGAGGACTTAGCATCTGAGGCTCAAAGTGGCAGGTATGGTTATCTGAGTGATTCATTACGAAGATATGGTGGGTCATTGAGTTATGTTTTTGACGAATTTGATGTAAGGTTGTATTTTTTCTACAATTTCAATATTTTTTTCACTTCTTTAGAATGTTGAAAATACTATTAAAGGAAAGCAAAACGTACTTTTTTGTCAAAACACAGGGATGATTTTTTATCATGAAAACATATAATACAAGTGTATTACTGACTGTAAGCTTTTCATTCCATATATTAGACCAGCATCATATGAACCTAAGTGTCCTGCGTTTTTTCCAACAAGCCACTAGGTGGTGGGTTGTGCACAAAGGTCAGTATCTTGGCTACACACTTACATCGTTTGCCATATTGTGCTAACCATATGTGGCATCACATGAAAGTGGTGCTTCAAGCTTCTAAAATTTCACAGTATTCTGAACATATTTGTTCTTTGGCTTTTTCAAGTATATTACTTTTAAATGGTTTGTTGCCCACTTTTCCACCACAGGTGTACTCTCACAGTTTTGTTCTGCTCGACATTTAAGTGAACTTTTGCTAAGCACTAACAGAATACAGCTGAGTATACACTAGCACAAGAACAAATACCAGCTTAAAAGGCAAAATAAAAGATTAGTAAAAAGAGAATTTGGATTTAAACAATTCTAAATGTCACGTAGCATGTTAGCATCTCTCACATGAAACAGTACAGTGCAGTTTATACAACGTATTACTGTTTTGAACAAATCCAGCAACGGTTATAAGTTCTCTGTGTCAAACATGTAATCAGCTGGCTGTAACTGGTTAATAAAGACTGTGGCCAAGTTTAAGTCCACCATTAAATTGTGTTATATCTTATATAGTATAGTGGTTTGGATTTTTCTCTTTCAAATGTGGGCAGAACAGACGTAGTAGTAATTGAGAGGAGAGGGTAAGTGATTTGTAGCAAAGGTTCCTAGCTGGAATCGCAGATTAAATGCTGTGGTCTCAGTGCAGCATGCATTCTGACCACAAGGCTGCCACATAACATTGTTGTTTCTTTTTGATGTGGTGCCTGGTCTGACATCGGCCAAAAAGTTAAGTCATGTCAGCTTGAGGTTATTTCTGCATGAGGCAGCGACAGAAGATGCAATGCATTTTGGGAGTTTTCATAGGAAATTCAAGTGATCAGTTATTAGGATCGTAAATCAGAGAAAGGTTGGCAATCTGAGATCAAAAGAAAGAGGACGTCATTTCATTTTTATACAACCTGTACTGGTGACTTTTTGTCCTTGTGGGTGTGTGGATTTTGTAATATGACTGTAAATAAAAGAGTACTTTTGACTCATGAGCCTTTCTGGCCCTTCTTGATACTTTCACCCAGTTGTGCATGAACCTGCACATTGCAGAAGGGGATTATAGTGTGTCTTTGTGAACCTTCTGCACACGCTTTAACGACTCTTGTTGTGAAATTGCTCCAGCACCTGGCCTGTCTAACAGCAGAGATAGGCAGTGAAGCTAAAGTCTCGCCCCCCATATTCACTTGCATCTCTGCCTGCCTAAAGCAAGATGGTGAACTGGGTTTCTGGTTTGCAGAAATACGTACACTTGCTGTCTAACAGGTCTGCAGGAGACTGGTGCACAAAAGGTGTAAATTAAAACAGAAACCTTTTCAATTGAACTGAATGATAAGTGTGCTCCGCTTGTTGCTGGAACAGCATAATTCTCTGTCTTTATCGTGTGTTTTTGACACTTAAGGGAAGCCATTGCTTAGTTTCTCACCCTTTTGACATAAAAGATATATAAAATTGCTTTGTCTCAGCTTCTGCAGGATCTGTTAAGAATCCTGTTGTAGATAGACTTTAACAAATTCTGAGACTGCTTCACTTCAAATGTTGTCTTATAGATGCTTGCTTAAAAACTTATCAGATGGTTGTGCCAACTTAACCTTTTAAAGATCTCCTGAAGCTCCCATTTAGTTATTAATTTGCAGTTTTCTGACAATTGCTCAATTGCTGGGTGCCGAACAGCACGTAAGTAGTTTGAGTGACAACTTTTATTTTCACCACAAGTGTTCACAACTGGAATGTGAGTTTCACAAATGCTAAATACAACCACTAAACCTAAGAGGTTTATGGAGCCTGAGCTAAGTGAGCAATCTGGTCATTCGTCAGTGGAAAACAGCTGCTCCGAGGATTGGGCTGGAGGGGGAGTCAACCTGGGTCCGGGGAAAGGGTCAGAGTTACTGAAAATAGAGTATAGACGTTCAGGTAGGGTTCGGGAGGAATATGGGCAAGCTGTGTGTTCTGAATCTTCCTGAGTACTGCTTACTTGCCGCGGGTGGTCTGTAGTGGCATGGAGAGGTTATTGGTCTGGGTGAGTGGTCCAAAATTCCTGGCGTTGAGGCAGGGAGGCAGGCAGGTGAACGGGGTGAACAACCCGTGGGACTGGCAGGTGGTCGAGCGTCCAGATGGGAGCTCTTCGGCAGAGATTTGTGTCCGGCAACTTGATGCGTGGAAGGGTTAGCTGAGAATCTGGCGAAGAAAGGTTGAGTGCGCTGGCCTTATGAGTCCCCGGCTTACTCATCCACAGGTGCGAGCAATCAGCAGAAAACAGAGGCTCCTCCCAGGGTTGGAGATGCCGGCTCGGAGGGAGACACACTAGCACACACCTGGACCATGACAAAATATGTTTTATATTTCAGAATAGCCTCCCTTTGCTTTGTTGACAGTGCTGCAAACCCTTGGTCTTCTCTCAGTGAGCTTCATGATGTAGTAATCTGACATGGTTTTCACTTTACAGGTGTGGTTGGTCAAGGTTCAATTATGGAATTTCTTATCTTCTTAATGGGGTTGGGACCATCAGCTGTGTTGTGCAGAAGAGGAGACTGTGTGAATCAGGCCTTTATGGTCAAATAGCTGCTAAGAAACCACAGCTAAGGAAAAGCAACAAGCAGAAGAGATTTTTCGGGGCCAAGGAACACAAGGAATGGACATTAAACCAGTCTAAATCTGTACTTTGCCAAGTTTGAGATCTTTGGTTCCACCCGCCATGTCTTTGTGCGACACAGAAAAAGTGAACAGATGGTCTCTACATGCATGGTTCCCACCATGAAGCATGGATGAGGAGGTGTGATAGTGTTGGGGTGCTTTGCTGGTGACACTGTTGGAAATTTATTCAAAACTGAAAATACACTGAACCAGCATGGCTAACACAGCATCCTGCAGCGACATACATCCCATCCGGTTTGAGTTTAGTTGGACCGTCATTTATTTTTCAACAGGACAATGACCCCAAACACACCTCCAGGCTGTGTAAGGGCTAACTGACCAAAAAGATGGAGTGCTGCACCTCTAGTCACCTGACATAAGCCCAATGGAGATGTTTTGGGATGAGGTGGACTGCAGAGTGCTCAGATTCTCTGGGAAGTCCTTCAAAGACTGTTGGAAAACCATTTCAGCTGACGACCTGATGAAGCTCAGTGAGAGAATGCCAAGAGTCTGCAAATGAGTAATCAAAGCGAACAGTGACTATTTTATGGAATCTAAAATATAAAACATATTTTGAGTTATTTCACACTTTTTTGTTTACTACATAATTCCTTGTGTTCATTCATAGTTTTGATGCCTTCAGTGAGAATCCAAAAAACACATGAAAATAAATAAAAACCATGAAATGAGAAGGTGTGTCCAAACTTTTGACTGGTAGTGTGTGCGCCCTCACAGGAAACATTAATCATTTTCAACGTTTTTTCCCCCCAGTCTGCTTCCAAGGCCTGTCACTCCGGTGAAACTGCGCTCACTAAAGCTGCAAATGTCTTATCTTACCTGCTGGATATCAGCGTGTTTTTGACAGCTTATGCAGCACAGAGACCAGTGTACATTAACTCTTGGCAGCTAAAAACTGCGGTGTTAAATTTGGAATAATCTTTGTTTTTATTTGACTGCTTTGATGCTCCCTCTTCTCTTCCTCTCAGGTCTCTTTGTTCCGGATCATCAACCATCCTGGGACATCTCTCTCCCCCTTGGCTGTCAGTTACTGATGTTCGGATCTGGAGCTTTGTCCTCCAGCTTCTCTTATCTCCCTCTCTCCTCTGTATTTATGCTGTCCTTTGTGTGTCCCTTCTCTAGGTTTGTTTACACGTCGAGGCAACTGAATGTTGTTTTGTGTATTTCTTCCAGGTTGGATGTTGATGAGGTCATGGAGGGGGGGGCTTGAACTAGATGAAGTAGATGGTGTCAGGGATATGCTGACAACAAAGGCCGTACTATTTACCTAAGATCATTTTTTTAGTCGAACTATTCAGTGGCACCTCGTGCCCTGTGAGTGGCAGCCCTACCTCCAAGAGGATAGAAATGTCTCATCATTGGATTAATATGACCACTCAGAACAAGCTTGTATTGATTTCTGGTAACCTTCCCCTCTTAAAGGACAAGTGGACTCAAAGATATCAGTCAGAGGTAAAGGTTTTGTTATTTTTCTTACATTTAATTAACCATAAACAACACTCCAGTGTGAATTTGCCTTGATATCAAAAACTGATATTTCAGATTTACAATAAGCTGTATATATGAGGAAAGACTCTAAATGCAATGCAAGTAATTTGATACATTGTCCACATTTTTAAGCATCAACTTTACAGTCTGCCTCTGTAAAATAAGGTTATATTCCAGAGATAAACTTTGATCATATATCTATGAATTGCTTTCATGCTGACTTTCCTTGCTTTCATAAGACTTCATATAAATGCACAAACATAGATAAATGTTCTTCATTACAGGTCAAAGGGACCTCTTCTGTAAACAATAGAAGTAATTCAAAATATGAGCTCAATTAACCCTTTTTGTTTGGGTTGATCATGACTACTAAAATACAGTGAAGAACTTGTTTTATCTTTTTCTGTTATTATTTTTTGGTGCAAACTGAGTGCTAATTTAATTTACAGCATAGCACCAGTTCTCTTCCTCTATCTCAAAATGGCCACAGTTGCTTGGTGTTTAAAATAAAAATATTAAGTGATGAGTGTAAAACTTAACATGGAAATGTAAGTTGTAATTACTAGAATTTTATCTACAGCCTTACACTGCAAAAGTGCAATGCCATTTACTACAATTCTGTTATGTACTACT